CGTAATAATTGTATTAGCCGAGCAAAAGTATACTGCTGTTAGAATATTAACTAAATTCTATCGTTGATATCATGCACATGCACATTTTTCTCAGATTAAACTTAAGCCATCAAGTCTGCGCCTCCAAGCTTAAATATTGAATATTTATACGTTAAATTCAGTAACGTAAGAAAAAAGCATGAATTTTTTCATATTCGAAAATTTATTTCTGCAAAATTATTAATACTTTTATTGAAAATATTATTATGTGCATCTGTCGATAATGTGCTAATAAATATCATAATTAGACATTCACACTGTTTATAAAAAGCGAGATAACAATTATTTTTATAATGGTTTTATAAAAATATTCGCATATTTGTACAAGCATGCCTCTGCTACTCCTATTGCCGATCTCTCTCACGGCATTTAGCCACTTACAATTATGACCATAATCATAATCTTCGCTATTAACATAACCATAACCCCGATCTTTGGCCCGTAATGCGCGTTTTTCAATTTATAATTAACGTTCTTCGATAAATGCTTTCCGCCTTAATTTTCAAATTTCAACCCACAGGCGAAACTACAAATACGGATACCATAAAACGTGCACCATCCCTAATCATAATTGATTCTACATGCTCGAGTATAGATTTTCTTAGCCGCGTTCATTACTCTTGCCTATCTATGCAATTTGATATAGTTTCGTAAAACAGAAACAGCGTAATTGAAAACATTTTAAAAGATAATAGATTAAACAAGTTAAGAGCCAAAAACAAATATATTTTTCTGAATATTGAGAATAATTTAAATGTCAAAGATTACATGATAGAAAGCTTGATATCATTTTTATAAGAGAAAATATAATTTATAAAATATATAAAATATATATATATATATAAATTATATTTTTTCTTATCATGAAAACGATGACAAGTATATAGAAAGTAAAATAATTTATTAATATTTCAACACAATTTGTCTTTATGAGGCTATATTTAATAATTATTAAGGTTAGAATGATTCTTATCTTATACCAATTATTTTAGAATATAAATATAAAATATTTAAATAACTGCAGTATATAAGTTAGAATATATTTAGATGATCCTAGGTTAATCGCTAACTTCATCAACCAATTACTTATAAAATAAGTTAGCACCTGCACACATAAATTTTTCCGATCTTCAGTCAAACAGGTTGTGATTAAGCGTTTCATACAGTAAAATCGACGCAATTTTGCTCGTTATCATAGATATTTATCATAATTGATTCTATCTTTTAATATCGTGGACAGTCCTGACCGTAAGTTGCATTTATTCTCTTATCAAATTTTAAAGACAGGTTTATAGTGGCATTACAAGCCGCTTCACGCTATCAAAGTTTATTAGGTGAATATCGATGATACCTTCCTATATATGTTATCAGCATTGCTATTATTACGAATTTTCTGTTCGCGACCTTTTACGCTACTACATCGAGTATAATTATTCAAATTAGCGAAGAATGCATCGAACTTGTGGATACTAAAGGCCTTACAGAAGTGTCAGGATCTAATTTTTAAACACTTCCGAAGACAATTTCTAACATCTTGGGATAATTTTTATACTCAATTTTATACTCAATTTCTCTAATATGTATAAAATTAAAAACAAAAATCTCTCAATATATCAAAAATTTGTAATTACACACAAAGTATTAATTTTTATTTTAGTAAAACTTCAAATCATTCAATTTTTAAATAAATTTTTAATTTTGTTATTTTAGTATCTATTTCTTTAAAATGCACGTAGGTATAGAGGAATATAATTGATGAAGCTTTGTTATATTTCAGAATTAAATGTTGCTTCTAAGATATTTTATTTTTTAGCTTATGACAGTCTTCTTCAGAAAGTGCGAGATTACACCTGTGTGCGGCGGCAAGAAATCTAACGCTGGACTTGCCTCCGGTAAACTCGTTGTGCACTCCGATGCACTCTTATCCTGCACGTGGACGATCGAGGTAGTTGCAACCTCGGTGCACACATGCTTTGCCAGTTATACCCACCCAACGACGACAGCAGCTGCGGCATGAAGTCACTGGATCTTTATTCACTTGATCGAGCAAACTCGCCACACTTCCCGAATATTTTCTTAATCTTTGAACATTTATGCCATGAGTGTTAAATATATAGCAAAAAGTACTTTCTTTTTTTCACCAACAATATAAAAGATACATATATAACATTTAGACTTTTTCTTTTTACTTAAAATTTTATGATAAAAATTCTATTTTTACATAATAATAGATATCTCTTAACCTTTATTTTATGATACCAAATTCTATGTTTACATAATAATAGATATCTCTTAACCTTTAGAGGACGGGAATCTATTTTTTTCAATCTTACAGTTTTTCTTTGAGTAAAATTTATAATTCATTATTTTATTTATTTCTTGCCTCAAAATATGATATTCTTTCAACGCCATAGTGGCTTTCCCGTCCTGTAAAGGATAAATATTGCATGTTATTATAAATTAGAGCATATTAGGGAGAAAATGCATGAAACTTTCTTCAGAATCTTTTATATCAAGAAGCATTGGTAGCATCCATAAAAATATAGTCGCAACCAATACGCGTTAAGGCTGTAACATGAGTGCGCGTATTAGCCTGCGTAATTTTAGCACACGCGCCATTCAAATGAACTCTTTTCGCATTGCGTCATACGGTGTCGAGACGTGGGTGAAAAAGCCTCCGTTTCGTTATATAACGTCCTTCGTCTACACGACCCTCTTCAGTTCTATTCCTAACTATTTAACATGCGAATACGATTTATGTAAATCGACTTAGTTAATTCTTTATCCAGTTCTCAAGTATTACCATCATAATATAAGAATATAATTCACAGTGTAGAAAGAGTTCACGATTTTCTTCAACCAAGAAATGTATGCCAATCGACGAAATTCCAAATAATTATTAACCCTTTATTCAGTTTAAATCTTTTACTAAATTACTAAAATTACTCTCGCGAAACACATTAAGTATTTATAATTTTGTAAAAATTGAACTTTTGTGACAAATAAAATTCTAGTAGCAATTCTTTTATATATTTATGTAAATCTATGAAAAAGTAAAAACCATTCCAATGTTTCAATAAAAATAAGATAATATCTCTCTTCTCTCTCTCTCTCTCTCTCTCTAAATATATATACTTCTTTATAAATGTAGAATTATAAGTTAAATAATAAAGTAAATTTTATAAATATATATATATATATAAAAGCTGATGTGTAGAATTATTCGCAAAGGATTCCAATATATCCACAACTTGATTATAATTCAAATTTCTGTGAGAATTTCTACATTTTATTTTTCGAACAAATAATTAAAATTAAACTAAAATAATAGTCCTGTTACTTTAGTTGCTTTCAAGTGATTACTTTCAAGCTATCTTTCGCATGACAATCTCGCATCACTTATAACTTCATTAATTTTGTCCGGCTTTAGCAAAGCAACGAGAGACACAGGCTAAGATGCGTAACGCAGCCATTTAAAGCGCCGCGCATGATTGAACAGGATGATAATATGAAGTTACATTGGCAGAAGATAATTTCTTCCCTGCGCAAAGGCTACGAATACCAGATCATCTGCCGCGAACATAGAGGAACCGTTTAATTAAAAACATGAAAAATAGATTAAAACACGAGGCAAAGGGACGAGTGGGATAGAGGGCAAATCTTCAGGTCCTCGCTCCTTTCGCAATGACGTAGCAGAGGTTGTTGCACGTTGCTTGAACTTATTTTACATGGTTACGTGCCATCCAGAGTGATCATAATTAATGCGTGATTACGGTATGCCCCGAAGGGTCGTCTTGCAAAGGATAGATTCTGATCTAAAGGAGCTATCACACCATCGCTTATTCTCTATATATTTTTATTAATATTATTAATATTGTTAATATTGTTGCAAGATAAATGTTGACACTTCAAAAACTGCTCGTTAAAAAAAATAAACTGAAACTCATTTCAAAAATTAGATTCCTAATTTTCAAAATCAGTGATTAGTTTAAAAATATCCATACACTAAAAAAAAAAATTTGAGACTTGATATAATTCTCCTTCAATTATACCGATTTTTACATCGTTAAACTCTTAGATAGATTTTTCTATTTAAGATTTGTACCGCTTAACCCTTAGATATTTTTCTATTTAAGGTACTGCTCTTGACCGGAATGTAAAGGTTAATAAGAGAAAATTTTTATTACGACAACTCATTATATGGAATTTCTTCATTTGTGACTATTTATTCGAATGTCATTAATTCTGATGCATGCGTGGATTGTGATTAATATTTTTAACGATAATACTCATGTGAGAACTCCATAAGAAGAGTAAATGAGCAGATTCTGTCAGGTTGTATGATTGTCAGGATAATATGAAAAAAATTCATAATTACGTACACATTCCTATATTGACAGTAACTGTTCTGGTGAGAATTTCAAAAAAATCAATAAAAGTATTTTTCCGAGTACTAAAATAAAAAATTTCTATAAAAACAATAATATTACTTTTATTGCGTATCGATATTATAATTGATTTTTTGTACCGTTCTAAAAAATATTCTAAAAATATACCTATACAACTATACTTTTATATTAAACATTTTTTATTTAAAAACAATCTTTTATGATTCTTATTTATATTTTTGAAAATAATTGTCCACCTTATATTTCGTCAATACTTTACATTATCAAAAAATAATAATCAAAAAACAATGTTTTCTAGGAAGAAATAGAATTTAAACTTCAAAAATTTTTAATTTTAAAATTTTCAAAATTTCTCTAACGATAAGTGCCAATAAAATTTTGAAAATTCCTAATTTTTCAAGATAAAAAAGAAATTCTCCGAAAATTTCAAGTTTTTCAAAGTTTTTTAAGTACTTTCGAAGTTTCGGGCACGAGAATTTCTAGTGACAACACTGGCTGCGATAGGTAGGAAAAATTGACTTTTCACGAGGAAGATACGGACTGTGGAGTTGGACGAGGCATGCGCCGCTGGCACGAGTGAAAATGGCGACGATAGTGTGCCTCTCGCGACGTGTGTCGCCGTATGCACGACACTTTCGCGATGTCACGCGTGCGTACGCGTCGTGGCGTGCCGACCGCAGTCTCGGAAGGATCCAGAAGAGCGTTGGATTGCTGACCGTCGCTTCCGTCACGTTTCTACTAGCGCAACAATATTTACGGTCGAAGGTGGTGCACGCCTTGAAACCTCGCAAGGTACGTGCTATCGAGTACAGTCCAGTCCAAGATCTCGCCTCGTCTGGCGATGGCGCGAAGTTGAATGGCGAGTCACGACGATCACGTGGACTTACGCGTTCACGTGCGCGTGAATGGGCAGTGTGTAGTGGAGTTGCACGAGAGCGTAGCAGTGCACTCCATTCATTAAATGCTTTTCAAAGAATCGACAATATTTCTCATAATATATTTTACATCTCTTACGTTTATATATAAGCTATGTTGAAAATATTAAATATTGTGAGAATAAGTATATTACTCATATTTTTACTCCGAATATTTGCGGATTCTTCTTAAAACGTGCAATAATATATTCTTAAGATAAGATCTCAGCGAGAATAATTTATAATTAGAAGTTCATTTTTTAAGAGAAATAATTATAAAAATTATATTATTCATATTTTAGTATGGAAAAGTTCTAGTTTAAAACATTTAACAAAAAAATATGAAATAGTAGTTTAAAGTATTTTATATGAAGATATTTCATATAAAATTCAAATATTTTACGGTAATATCGGTAACAATCTTGTAAAAGGCAAGAAAAAGAGAGAAAGATCTGAAAGACCGTTACGTGAAATAATTCCAAAGTAAAACGTGTCCGAAAAGAATATGAATAGCGCAAATATTAAAAATATTCCTATTTCTTATTATATATTATTTGAACTGCTATTTCTTTCAATGCAATGACTTCGATATCACTGAATCTGCGGGTGAACAGAGATAGGAAAAGGGCGGCAGAGAAAATAAGAGATTCTTCGACGGATTTAAAAAGAAGTTCCGAGCGCGTCGAGAATGAAGGTGCCCGCGATTGATCTCGTTCGATCTTCGGTCGTGAGACCGAACGTGTAGGTACGCTATGTTAATAATATGGCCCGAAGGAAGCGGATCGGCTTTTGTGTCAAACGATCTTCAAGTGTATCAGCGCCACGCCCTCCGAACGATCACATAGTCGATACGGCTTAACCAGTTTGGCTTTTTGAACGTCTCTATTACAGCCTGAGAATCCTGAGATTCTTCCGAAAAGTAGACCGCAGGCATAGCATCGTAAACTATAAAATTACGTTTAAGTGACTCTTTTACATATCGTGTGTGAATGTTATTTAAGAAACTATATTGCAATAAAGAATGAAAATGTTTCTCGAAAAGTATCTTTAAAAAATCATTAATTAAGAGAATTGTAATATATTAATTAATATCTCACAGCGTTAAATATATCTTTTTTATTTTATCAGCAATTCTGGACAATAATATTAAATATCTATACTTGTAACATTTTTTAATAATTTTTGTGATATAATTAAGCATGAGTTAATAATTTGAAATATTACGATTAATAAGTCATTGTATTTGCAACTAAATAATTTCTTTTTTAAATAAGTTAAAATTTCATGACTTCTTTCATTTTATATCTTTTTAATAAAGAATTAATTTTGAAAAAATATATATAATAATATAATGTATGTGGCACATTATAACTTCCTTAATGTCAAACTTTCAATCACAGAGCACTGTTAACTGCCTCGAAACATTCACTAACGAGAAACTTCTTAACTGCTCAAGTTGAACGTTGACATACGCGTTTCATCGATCATGCGACGCTTTCGAGAATGCGGATGCCTTCTAGGGACATTTCACGTCTTATAAAACGAAGCAGATAAATAATGACCGACGCTTTGCACCGCAGTTCGCAGCCAAGCTGCATCCGTGCATGCAGATGCACCCGGCCCTTTGCCACGAGATTCCCTAATCTGACTGCGATGTACCCTAAGTTGTTTCCTTTCCACACCTCGCAGCACGTGTATCCATTAATTATCGCGCGTGAGAACTTGGGGAAAGTCACATGGAATATTCTTGGCGCTTGAATTCCATACCATTTACAAGGCAATTTGATCAACTACACAACTATATTTGACATATTTTTGATTGACATGCAAATTTTGATTAATATGCAAATATTCTTAGCGAAAATTAACAAAAATTTGACGAATTCAACCGTCTTTTTTGAAGAGATCAATGAGATAAGATTTAATAAAATACGTAAATTAAACTTGCAACAAAGGCTTCGTTGCTAACAGATTCTTTCAGTAGTGTATTTGAAAAAGTTAAATTAACAACACGCTTTCATAGAAGATATACATGACAAGTTACTTTTTAATATTTAATATCCTATAAAATTTTCAACTATAAATACACACAATTGCATAGATTCTAAAAAATATTCTCTTAAAATAAAATGTTTGTGATTTTATTTAAATATTAAGTTTGCAACATAATATTAAGTAACTTTATAAATATTCTATCAATGAAAAACATAACTAGGTACAATTTTTTTTTTGTTGTATTTCTATTATTTTCATAGAAAGAATATCTTATATTTTATAGTACGGAAATACCTCTTGTTGTTTCATTTACATAATTATTCGATTTTTTCCAATGTAATTAAAAAAACTAAGATAGATATTATCTTGACTCCAAAATTGACGGAAAACATGTTACACATTTTATGCAATTGCATGCGGACATGTAAATCATGGTAGTATATGCGTACAGTACACACATGACATTTTAACATGCCTCGTCACAGTCATCACATCGAGACTTGTGTGAGGATCCCGAAGATACTCTCTGACCACATCACTGCCAAGAATTCGGCGAGAATAGGGCTTCAGCAAGAGTGCCAAAATGTCATACCACGTGAAATCACATACGTCCACACATAATTTACACGGAATGTCCAAATTATTTTCCGTGGTCAATTATCTTGAGACATGAAGCCATCAAGATGTACGAATAGTCCATACACTGATATCATGTGAATTTAACCACACGCAATTAATTTTCTATATAATTATTTATGATACTGATATAATTCTTACAAATTTTATTTGTCATAATAAGTATTATAAGTAAAACAGGTAACTAATTAATAAATTTTATAAACATAGAGCATATTGATTGAAAGTAGATTACTTTTCCGAAAATGTAATCTTGTATCAATTTAATTTAGCTATTCATGAATCAGGAAATGCGACAGTGTCTCATGTCAAGTATAGTTTTCAAGTATCTATTTTTTCCGTATTACTTTTTATTCACTTCTCTCTGGTATAAAAATGTATGCAATTTTCCTAGAGACGTATCCTAGACACATATCATGATTGAAGCAGTTTTCCTGGTAAAAATTTGTGCAATTTGCGTAGACATTGCTCAATTATTGTCTAGTATTAATAGATTAAATTATTAACTTTAATTTAAATTAAAATAACGCGTAGAAATTGGACAAAAACTGAGTAAAGTTTTATTTAGTTTACTATGGCAATACAACATTTGGGCTGATTTTTTTCAAGATATTGTAATATAGTAATTCAGTTGATAATGCACACATCATATGATGTACATGTCAGCAAGCATTTACAAAATATGAAATATTACTAGGGCAAAACTGCCCATTTCAAAACAGTTGGCTTGCTTATCAATCAATTTAGCATCCATTATTTGTTATGTTTCTATTCAGTAACTGGATTCAGATTTTACGCAACTTTTGTATGCAGTAACTGCAAGCAAAGCGTTACATCCTGATTAGAATCCTAAGCAGTTTTCAATTATTAGACAGAAGTTGTATAACTGTTTAATAATTGCTCAAAAAATGCATGAAATTTCTACCAGGGCCCTTTTTCTATAAAGAGAGATATTACAATTTACATATCAAATTTCCATTTTCTTTCTTCTAAATTCAAATTATAATCTTTAAATAAAAATACAGAAAAAAAATAAATATTTCGTTTAGGTATTAAATAATTTATATATATAATTTTTTTTATATCTTGAATAAATTGCATCTTACTTATGGAATAAAATAATTTGTGTATAACAATTAAAATGACATCTACTATATATATAATCATTTTTAATTCGTAAAGATTAATTGGCCAGACATTTCAAAAAATTTGTATGTCATATAGTTACAATAAAATTTATTACGAAAACATTTATTGTGTATCGCAATCTACTAACATGCAATTGCAATCACGTAGAAATAATGATGAAGTGTAGTGACTGCGATGCACTGTTCGCAAAGCCAGTTAATCTTGCAAAAATAAACTTTAACCATGTTGTCCATCGTTTCTGTCGCCTTTATCTGAATGCGTAGGCTGTTGCAACGCGGAAAGAGCGATCAGTATCAGAAATGTAGATGCATACATGGTATCGCGATATGGCTCATTGAATAGATACGTGAAATTCAATAAGAAATAGCAATATAGAACATAGAAAAAATAATTGGACAAACTATTTAGCAAAAGGCAAATTATCATTTTTATATATAGAACGTTTAAATTTATTGAATATTTATTAAATTAGATAAAATTATAAATAATTATGATAGTTATTTTATCCTAAATTGTTTTATCAATATTCCTAAAGCTATAATAAATAAAAATAAATTTACCAATATCAAACTCATAAAATTAACCGCGTCTTATCAAATTTATTATTAATGTATTACTATTCGTACATCCAATGATTTTTTTGCATCTCATAATTGTTCAATATTATTAGAGAAATGAAATTTTTAATAAAAATATACAAATAATATTGATATTGAAATAAAACATTTAATATGGGATGTTCAATTACATTAAAATAAAAAATTAAAAAGCTTCCCTATTGAATCGCATTTCGATACAATCTTGAGTTAGAGTCTTCAACATTTTCGTTGAATATAAATTGTTCAGTGGACAAAAGAAAAGAGAAATATATTATTCGATATATTGCACATTATTACGAGGTGCGGTACAACGGGTGTAACATTATCATCACCCATTACATATGCGGAGGCATATGTGATGAGCGGTTTGCGGTAACTAATAGACTGAATCTTCCTTCTATCGAGATGCTTCTATCAACAATATTCACAAGTCCTTCTAGACCAAGATTCATTATAAGAGGACTTCTGTATGTATCTAAGACATACGTAGAGAGATCAG